CTCTCACAGACTTTCTTACCCTGTCTTGCTTCAAACTGTAGTCCTCCAGATCTCAGAATCCTGAGTATTTAGGATTACTGATGTGATGCACCAGCACTTGATCCTTTTTGTGTTTTTGATACTTGTTTGGGAGATAGGATCTCACTAATTTTTCCAGGTTGGCCTCAAACTCAGATCCTCCTTCTTCCATATCTCAAATAACTAAGGTTACAGGCATGGGCCACTACTTCTGGCCTTGGTTTCTACTTTATAACAAAATCTTCAATTCATAGCCTTTTTGTTCTTTTGCTGTGCTAGGGATTAAACCTAGGATTTTGCACATTAGGTGAACCATTTTTACAATGATTTGCAAATGATTTCTTTCCTTTCTACTGCAATTGCCAAAGTCATCTTTAGCTATACTTTTAAAACCCTCTGTTGGTTTTCTAATAGATATAATGTTGCATTTGTGCACACTGTTTTTACTTTTTGTGTGTGTGCCAGACCTGGGGCTTGAACTCAGGTCCAGGCCACTGTCCCTGAGCTTTTGTGCTCAAGGCTTTCACTCTACCTGAGTCACAGCTCCATTTCCAGCTGTTCTGGTGATTAAATGGAGATAAGAGTCTCATGGACTTACTGTTAGCCTGGCTGGGCTGGCTTCAAACTATGATCCTCAGATCTCAGCCTTCCTGAGTAGCCAAGATTACAGGTGCCTGGCTGTTTTAACTTTTTATCTGTTCTTACATCCATTATCCTACCTTGTTTTCAGCCAATCAAATATCCCTTACTCTCTTTGATTTCTACCAATGTATTGCCTTTTGTGTTTATAATAATTTCCTGCCTCATATCTACCGAATTACTTATATGCTCATTCAAAGCTTATTTGAAATATTAATTCCTTTCAAGTAGGTAAGGATGAAGAAAAAGCTAAACTTCTCATTTACAATTGATTATAATTTCTTTCAAAAATCTGTAAACCAAAAACAATGCTCAACCAATTAAAGTGTCTAGAAAAGGTAAGTAAATTTGTGTAGTCCATTCATTCCACTGACATTGCTAGGTTAGCAAGCATATGTTGAAACTTAAGAATCCAAATTAAGAGGTAGAAAGCATAGCTATAGTGAGCCCTAGTAATGTTCATAAGAATATACAAATATTGTACATGAAGCACATAGAAAGTGATTTTATAATCACCCTACTACGCAAGTGCTAAATTGTGTAGTATAAAACTTATGTAGAATAAGTGTTCAGAGACCAGGGAAAACATTATTGCCTAGGATTGCCAGTGAAAATCACATAGAAGTATGTTTTGAAGAAAATATAAAATGAAGCTGGTGCCGAAGGCTCATGCCTGAAATTCTAGTTGAAATCTGAGGATCAAAGTTCAAAGCAAGCCCTGGCTGGAAAGTCCATGAAACTCTTATCTCCAATTAACCACCAGAAAACCAGAAGTGGAGCTGTGGCTCAAGTGGTAGACCACTAGCCTTAAGTAAAGAAAGCTCAAGACAACATCCAGGCTGAGTTCTAGCTCCAGAACTCTCTCTCTCTCTCTCTCTCTCTCTCTCTCTCTCTCTCTCTCTCTCTCTCTCGCACACACACACACACACACACACACACACACACAATAAAATGTAGACTATCTGAACTGGGGTAGAAGACTTTTGCTAGCATTTTTCAGTAAAAAAAAATTTAATAATTGTTTAGCAAACCCTAAGGGAGAAATTAGCTGTTTGCTTAAGAAAACAGCAAATTTTGTTGTAGAAAGTAGTGGAAAATCTAGCTAGATAATTTAAGTGGAACTAATCAATCAAGTACTCAGATTCCATATTGAGGAAATAAGAATTGTAAAAAGAAAAAAAAGGGAGGGGGGAACCTTCTTCATGCCAGTCTTAGGGCTTGAACTCAGGGCCTGGGCTTTAGTATTCAAATCTAGTGCTCTACCACTTGAATCACAGCTCCTTTTCCAGGTTTTTTTTTTAAACTCGTTTTTTGTGGGTTTTTTTTCTTTTTCTTATTGTGAAAATACTGTAAAGAGGGGTTACCACCTCACTCCAGTTAGAATGGCTAAAATCAAGAACCCTTTTCCAGGTTTTTCTGGTGGTTAGTTGGAGATGAGAGTCACAGACTTTCCTTGTCCAGACTGGCTTTGAACTATGATCCTCAGATCTCAGCCTCCTGAAGTAGCTACAATCACAGGACTGAGACATGAGTGCCCAGCTTAATAAAAACTTTTAGACATATACTAGTTACTGCAAATAAGGGGAACCATGGGACCTACGTTTCTTTGGGTCTGGCTTGGCTTACTTCACTTAATATAATTTTTTCCAAGTCTTTCCATTTCCTAACAAATGGGGCAATGTCATTCTTTCTGATGGAGGCATAGAATTCCATT